AACTCTCTACGCCCAGTTGAGTCTTGGCAGGTGTGGTGTTACCTGTTAATGTCTGTTAAACAAAAAGCGGTCCCTTTCAGGGCTTCTTGTAATATGTGTCATAAAACAGCACCCAAACTCAAAACAAATAAGCCATTACAAGCCAAAGGCATGAGGTATTAATTGGCAGGAACAGAAGTTGCTCTTTTGGGTGAAGGGCCACTTTAATTCAATGGGCACTCACTTCATCAGAGCTCCCTGTGATGATAGACCAAGATATTTTGCAAGTGCTAACACAATTCATTGTTGTTTAGTCATTAAGTCACATCTGACTCCTTTGCGATCCCATGGACTGTAGCCCGCCAGGTTCCTCTGTCCATGGGATTCTCCAGGCAAGAATACTGGAGTGGGTTGCCATTCCCTTTTCCAGGCAATCTTCTTGACCCAGGGAATAAACTTGTGTCTGCTATATTGGCAGGCAGATTCTTTACCATTGAGACACCAGGGAAGCCCTAATGTGACTCATTATATGATGCTTTTCGATGTTTGCACTCTGATTCTTGGCTGTGGGATGAGGCCTGTAATAGGCTAGTTTCCTTGCAAAAGGAGCCTTTGGTACTGTAGGTGAGCCTTCCTATTAAGAGATAGAGGAAGTTGTCGATGAGTATATCTATGCTGCAGCAGCAGCAGCATGTCTATGAATCCTTACAATTTATAATGCTTCCAGACTATACTGCCCTTTAAAAAAATCCCTGAAGTATTGTTCATCTTTGTTAAAAACTCAATTGTTCAACAAATATTAATTGAGCTGCTAATATGTACTGTTTAACAGTGATGAACAAAAATTCAGCACCTGCTTTTATGGTGCTTGTATTCTAGCTAAACTCTCAAGCAAAAAGTGAAATTATCTTTTGAGTAACAATAACATTTAAATAATAATTTTATGCCCTTAAATCAACTGAATCTATAAAACATGATTGTAAGCTTTTTGAGGACAAGTATATTGTTTGATTTGTTTTTACTGTATATGCAAAACAGATAATGCATAATAGTCATATATAGGCATTCAATAAATGCTTGCTGGATTAATAAATTATTCCAAATGTTCAGTCATTGTGAATGAGTTTTTAAAATTATGAAATGTGCTCTATAAATGAAATTATTCTTTCATGGTTAACTAAATAACAGCTTAATGCCCAACCTACCTATTTAAATAATCTGTCAATTTGGATGACAGATAAATCCTCTGCCTTAGTAATTTGACTTACCAATGTCTTGGGGTCAGTTAATTGGAGTCTGTTTGTCAGATGAATCCTTAGATCAGTATTTCATTAACAGTGTTTCCTTTCTAATGATTAAATGTTGGTTTATTCTTCCTTAAGTAACTTCCAGACTACCTACTCTCATGAAATAAAATAAAACAATCTTAGGAACATGGACTAATACCAAAGGGTATTGATGTATCTTTTGTTTGCTTAAAAATATTCAATAATGTCACCATTCATTAAAAATAATATACCAACTTAAAGTTTCAAATGTTTTGGGTCACTATCTTTTATTACTCACATCCAATATTTCTTTAACAACTATTAACCGGGCAGAAGGTGGAAGCTATATCCACAATTACCATCGCTTTTGGGTTATTGCAGGCATGTCCAAGTCAGATGGAATGAAACAGAAAGACCTTTCCATAACCACACAGATTTATAGATACTGCAACCTTCTTTAGAAAGGCTGGGGAAAATGGATCTGTCTACTGAATGTTGTCAGTTTGCATATCTGTGGACTAAATGTGTCCAGTTTTTGTGAGGGATAGAGAAAAATGAACAGGAGGAAAGAGTGCGGAAGGACTTCTTCCATGTATTCAATCATCTCTGTTTCCAACCAGAAGGACACTTATATTAGCATATACTCCAGGCAAAGACTACGCTGTGAGAGGTGGGTTTTTACGAAGGCCCCTCTTGGAATGTGCTTATCTTTAGGAACAATTCTTGTGATGCCGTGGCTGTTTCTCCTGTCCCAACTTCTTCCATACTGAATATATTTCTTTGGTCTGTTCAATGACTTATGCAACTTTTAAATATATGCTCTGAAATTTGGAACATTTATACATTGCCATTGCAAAATGCTTAATCTTCTAAATTGCCCTCACGTACATACACACCCACCCAGAAATCCCAATGATGTGGCATGACACCTTTACTTTTAAGTCAAAACAAATTTAGCTTTTCGCTTGGTGGTTAGCATTTCCCCTCTCTTTCTGGCAGTTTTTTTCTTCTTCTTTATTTTCTTTCCCTCTTTACACATGTTGATCCTTTTGAAAATGAATGTTTGCCAAATCTAGTCTGAGTTGGAAGGGAGGTGGGGAAGAGTGGATATGAAAAGTTCTGACTAAGAACGCTAGCAACTGATTTCTAGTCTAGAGGTGGGCTCTGTGCCTGGTGAAGCAATTAAACTACAATTACACTGATTGATATTATAAATCAGACTTTGGGAAAATGAGTTTGGGGACTGGTGACACCTAGACTCATTTTTATTTTTCACTTGCATCTTAGGGAGAAAAAATCAGCACTTGTGGAAGATAAGAGTTGTTTCTTCCTCGAGGGTAGCCAGTTTTCACTTGTGACTCTAAGCTGTGCTCTCGAGACAGGAAGCAAATTCATAACCTTGACCATCTCTTCTAAAATGTAAAGAGAAAAACTGCAGTATCTTTTATCTGGGGGCATATTAAAGAAATGCAGAGGAGAAGGTTTTTATCTCCAAGTAATTGATTTGAATCCTCACCTTTGGCCAAAAATTTCTTAGTTTGTTTTGGATGTGAAATCCACAGTTTCAAGTTTAGTGGTTTCAGTCACTTCTTACTGAAATGGTATTCTTTGATTCACTTTCAAGCTGCACTACTGCTATTCATGGGATAGCTATGTTATAGTACTGTATCATGTATGTCAGTATTTGGTTCTGCTCCTGTGGCATGCTACTTGGCTGTCAATAAAGTATTTTCAGTAGGGCAAATATTCAACAGCATCATCAAGTTTGAATGCAATAAGTTTGTATTAGAAAAATGATGCAGACAATAAGATTCCACAAGTCCTTTTGGTATCTTGCCTTCACCAATAAATTGTAGATTTATGAGAAATATGACTTTGCTTTAAAGTTGATTTAAACCCTCAGAGGAAATATTTACAAAGAAATTAAATAGGAAACCAGGCACCTCTAGGTAAAGGAAAAACATTAAAATTTCATAATAGTTTGAGAATTTGTTTGATAAATCTACACTGGTATCAGAATATTCTCCCTGACAATGAAAGCACTGTGAGCCCTAAGGTTAAGGGAGAGCTTCTTAGGAAAATTATAGTATAGCAGAAACATCGTAGACTTCCAAATTTTAAAGGCATTAAACATAAAGGATAAACACGCACTTTGCTCATTTCCCCAGATTAAGTGTGGCATGTTAGAAAGGTGTGCACTTTCCCCATTGTACCCATCAAATTTTGAAAATGCAAATCTGCAAGTAGTCAGAAAGAATATCTGACTTCTCTTTATCTGCATGGGTTAAGGCAAACCAAAATACTGAGTACAACATATGGGAAATATCTAATTTGTAAATCTGCTTATATTTCAACTAAAATGACTTGAAAGTTAAGAATCATGACACCATATCTTAGGCTATTTGTATTTCAAATGTGCTGCATTAACTAGAGAAGTATGAATACACTTTGCTGCTTAAAATCTTGATATTCAAAGATCACTAAAGCCAGGCTCTCTCATCACCATTATTGAATTATTATAACTATGGCTTTGGGAACTGGAATATATTTACTGATGATGAATTCTCTACTGTATTTTATTCTGAAAAGATCTGGCTGTCATTAACAAACAACAAATTAACCTTCATTTATGAAACTTCCTTTTCTTTTGTAAGAAGTAAACTTAAACAACTTGTAAAAACTAGAAACAACCTCAAATATAGGATAGAGACATCTCATGTTAATTCAGCCACAACCTGAGACTTAATATAGAAATGTACTAAATGTGTACTACTAGAAAAAAAGATCTGAAAGGGTCCTCTATAAAACTGGTGACCAAATTTTCAGTCTGCTGCTTGAAAACTGGCTTTCCCCCACTAGAACTTACATGCCCCATGCACCCCTGTGCTGTGTGAGATGAAATTGTGAAAATGGAGGCTTTTCTGGTCGCAAAGGGGTTAAGTTCTTTTTGCTTTACCAGTTTCAAATTACAATGAGAAGCCTCTTCTTTCCCAGCAGGGTTGTGCTTACATTACTCTTTAGATCTCCCTTGAAGAGGGCTGGTATATTTGTGTCTGCTGGAGGTGGAATTAACACTAAGAAGGAGAAAGAGAGTGAAGGGGCTTACAGGAAGGTTTGCAAGTAAATTCAGGAAAACACATTGACTTGAATAGTACAACCTTGAGTCTTGTTTTACACTAAGACGACACAAAAGATGTTAAAGTTATCACCAAGCTGCCGGACAAATATATATTCCAACACCAAGGTGCAGATCAGCATAGATCTGTGATTCAGAAATCAGGATTTATCTTGGAAAGAGCTCAAGGGTTGAGAAGAACTCAAGAGCAAGTGAAGATCACTGTGGGAACTACAGTTTATTAGAAGATCAACTTTCGTTCATTCCAATACCAAAGGCCTGATTATCATATATTGATATAGGAATGCATAGGTCATCTGATCAAATAATATTAGCCGCCTTCTGCTCCATCCATGCAGCAAAAGCTCTTAACAACTGTGGATAATTGGAAATTCGAGTTTCAGCTTTCTTAGAAATAACTACTCTTGACATATTTCAAAATACTGAAAATAGAGCAGGAAAATCAGTGAGGATGTGTGTTCAGAAATGTCACTGTCACTTCAGAAATGAAGAATAGGTAAACTTGTTTTTCAGCTACTGGGAAAATATACCTCCTAAGAACTTAGAATTTTTTTTTTTTTCTTTCTGGTAAGAGGACAAGAAGGACTAAAAATATCAACTTTTGCTTTTGGACAAAAATGCATCTGACTGTATTTTTACTTAGGGGTGTTGTGGGTTTCCTCTGGAGCTGCTGGGTTCTAGTGGGTTCTGCGAAAGGAAGTTTGGGAGACAATCATGTTCACTCCAGTTTTATTTATAGAAGACTACGGAACCACGAAAGACGGGAAATACAGAGGGAAATTCTCTCTATCTTGGGTTTGCCTCACAGACCCAGACCATTTTCACCTGGAAAACAAGCTTCCTCTGCACCTCTTTTTATGCTGGACCTGTACAACGCCATGGCCAGTGAGGAGAACCCCGAGGAGTTGGAGTACTCCGTGAGGGCGCCCCTGGCAGCAGACTCCCGGGGAGCCAGGAAGGGCTCCCCAGCCTCTCCCAATGGGTACCCTCGCCGCATCCAGTTGTCTCGAGCGTCTCCCCTGACCACCCAGAGTCCTCCGCTAGCCAGCCTACATGATGCCAACTTTCTGAATGATGCTGACATGGTCATGAGCTTTGTCAATTTAGGTATGTTGTTCATTTATTTGTTAATCTATGTTATTGCAAAGTGGACGTTTTCCTAATGGCTAAGTAGCTGCTTGGTAGGTGGTCATGTTTATATAAAGTCATTTTCTATAACTCTCCTCTCCAGCTTCTGTTTCCTTTTTTTCGTTGATGTAATATAAGATTTTGCCTTAGGCAACAGAGTCATATGTACATATATATATTATTTTAATATAAATAGTTAAAATTAAACATGTGGTTTGAGTAGATTTGGGTCTTCTCACGTCTTGTTAAAATTTCAATTTTGTTTAAATGTATGAATAAACAGGCAATAGTCTAAAGAATTTATGAGGACAGCTAATCTATGGGTCAAATAATAATAATAATGCAGGTATTTACAGAATGGAAAGGTAAAAGTGACATTCTGAACCTTTTTTTTTGGTTAATAATTTAAAAAGCATATAAATGTAACTTAAATGCCACTTAAGAACTCTAATTTCAGGGCAGAAACTACTGCGAAAATATTGATGTGAAACTAATTAAGATCGAATAATATTGTAAAAGATTACTATCAGAGACTATCAGGGACAGATTCTGAAATTCTGTGAAAAATATTTTGGAAAAGAATTTTCAATCTAACATTTTTTTACTAGAATGATTAAAATACATCATACTTACTTGATTTTTTTTCAGAGGCAAGAGAAATGTAAAACATGCTATGATAGTCTTTACCTATATAAAACTTTCCTTGTCATTTAAGATAAAAATATTTCAATCAGAAATTATTTAATTAACAAAATTCTTAGAGAGTAATTTTTAAAATTATATTCTACTGAGTGCTGATACTGACAATACCAAAAAATTGATCTTGACAATATCAAATGATAAATTAATGCCTTGCTTTCATCTTTCAATATTATTAAAGAGTCTTCATTTTAAAATGATTTTACAAGGGCTGTGATTTTCCTTAAATTTTTTGGTAGCCACTGAAGGTAAAAGTTTGCTATCTTTAGACACTAAAAAAAGAAACTAAATAGAATCAACAAGTGTAATCAATTCTTAATGTTAGAGTTGCTAAAACTTTGTTTTAAAGTGCAATCTGCTTGGAGTTAAAATTGACATGTTCTATTAGACACTTAATTAAAAACTTCCTCATTTATCAAAAAAATATTCTTTGAAAAGTCAGATAGCAACAAATCTTAATGACACATGAAGCTTTTATAGTATGTGTTGCTTAATATGCCCTGTTCATTTGCTCTGAGCAATCCTAGTAGGAAGGATAAGGTGCCTGATAAATCATATGTTTCACGTTATAAGAGACAAAGCTCTCATTATAAGCTGTAGTAAGTCATTGGTGGTTGCCTTAATCAAGTGTCCTAGGGGCCTTTTCTTCTCTATGTAATTAACAGGTTCCATTTGGAACTTTTAAGCCATCAAAATATGTCTTAATTCTAAATTAGTTTGATTGCTTTTTCCTCATGCAAATATGACTCATGGTATATTTGACTTTGTAGCAATTTCTCAAGATTATTCAATAACTTAACTCTCTTTTTAATATTTTTATAGATAAAGTCCAATTTGGCATGATTTACATATTCATAAATCACTGAAAAAGCAGTGATTGTTTTATTGATTTATAAAACAATAGCTAAGTCTTGAATCTGTCCTAGTAATATATTATATTACAACTGAATACTTTGATCATTCACAGGAGAAGTGTATTTGTTTTTTCAGAAAGGAATGAAATACTATTTTTGAACCCTTGCTCCATTGCTTTTTATAAATTTACATAGAATAAGAAAGCCAACAATAACAATAAACAGTTTTATTCAGGGACTTCTAGGACCATTTTTATCATTAAAGCATATTTACATTTTTAGATCAATAAAGTTTTCATTACTTGGATTATAATTACAGGGCAGTAAATTAATTATACTATGAAATAAAAGTATTAATTTTACACTAAAGAAACAATACTGGGTAGGAGCTTCAGAGAATGTTTATTTATTTATTTATTCATATCATGCTTAACTTGCTGATAGTGATTCCTCTTCAATAATAAACCGTGTTGCTTTTTCTTTAAAAAATCCAAACTAAATGTCTCACATGAAATTATTGACTAATTAATTGTGATACTGAGTGAGTTTTTCCTGGGAGTCTCTGAGGAAAATTAAACCACAATTTTATTTTATTCTCTTTAGACCATGCCTTCTAACACAGCCAAAGCTTGCAGTCAATCACTGCTTAGTAAAAAGCTTTGACTCCTGTATTTCTTCCGTAATAAAATAGGTCAAAGCATACTTATAAAAGGTAAAAGTGTAATATCATTATTAACTGGGCTAAGAATTTCAGTGCTTCTTACGGTAACATTAATTAACAAAGACTCAAGAGGATTTTATTTTTTTAGTGTCTTTAAAGTAAAGACAGAGTAAGAGTGGAGACTGAGGGCAAATGATCAAATTAGCAAGAGGCAAGGGATTTGTATTGAGGAAGCCACCTGATATTTAAATATGTGAAAAGAATCTGTTGACATTTCCCATTATAAGTTGAATTATATAAAAAGGATCTAGTAGCATCCTTGTTATTCATGCCTGCTTGGGTCATTTTCAAGTTACATAATGGATTTTCTACAATTATCTTGTCATTCAGAAACATGGTTTTTTTCCCAACATAAGTTTTACTCCCCAAGAACAATTAAATTTAATTCAAACTGTGATTAATTTTATGTCCATAAGCAGAAAACAGATTGGAATTTACTAGAAGAAAAAAATAAAATGTGAATAAATTGCCTCAAAACCAATGTAAAAACTAAATATGAAATTAAACACATTATTCTATTTTGTGATTTGGCCACTTTGAAGAAACAAATATTAATTATTAATTGTGTGAAGAGAAACTTTCCATCTAATTTTATTCATTATTCTTAGGCCAACTTTTGTCAGTCTCCTAGTCAACAGCTTTTACAGATTGATTTCTCTGTTTTGTCCTTGAAACTATTTAATATCAGTGGAATCTTGCTTATTCAATTCCACATTATTTTGTTAGTAACAAAAACATCATTCTGGTAATTTTTTTTAACTATCGCTTTTTCAAAAATGTTAAGGATTAGTTTATATATCAAATATCTTTGCAAATGAAAGGAATAATTAGGTAGCTTGTTTGCAGTATTTAAGTATATCTCTGTTTACATAAAGATAAACAAGTAGTATATTTCTAAGACTTTTTATTTAGAAACTAACTATACTTGATTACTTGGTTACTTGGTTACTTGATTTACTTGGTTACTGTATAATTAAAATGATGTAACATTTGTAGCTATTTCAGAGGAAAGTACAGAAAACAGCAAACACAGGAAATTCACTTTTATATTACTCTTTGTCTACATGTAGTTCCCTGATAAAGAACTTTAGGTTTATTAATGGGCTTTGACCAGTTGGCTTGGGGTCAGATTCTCAGGTACAATTGAAGAATGTAAACTCATTCTCATGCATAAAAGTATGAAAATGTGGTGCTTACATTTTTTTTTGTATTTTATAACAACATGTTTAGCATATTAAGGTATGAAATGGAAAAATAGTTTCACGATTTTAAATGAAAGCCTTCTCCCTTACTCCCCAATCGTTAAACTCTTCCTGGTACTGGAAGAAAAAAAATGTGCTTATGCTCTCAGTTGACAGATTTGAAAGACATCATTGATATTTATTGTTGGTTTTGGCTGACTCAAGTGCCCAGTGGAGAGGAATTTATACACAGATCTACCTAAAGAAGCCTATCTATGTAGTCCCTCCAACAGGGTTATTAACACTTGTGTAACATAAACACACCTATAAACACACGCAAGATTTTTTTTTTTTGAGGAAGGGGGGATGGGAGGAAAAAATATCCAAAGCCATTATAGTACATATTCATGGATTATGCCTGGAATAACAAACGTTAATATTGGGTGAAATAGTCATTTCCCGCCCCCCCCCCCCTTTTCACTTTTGAAAAGAAGTTGCTGAGGGTGGAGGCCTTTATCTTTTTTCTCGTGAACTCTTGGCATTCTTGACCATGCCCTGGGTGGGGTGGTGGTGGTGGGGGAACCTTGTTCTTCTCTAATGCTATGTCCTTGCTGATGGATGGCATGGCTGCAGAGATAATTATAACCATAGTTTAATTAGAAGTGTTTTGCAGGTTTGAATGGTCACTCACAAATTGCTAGTTTTAGAAGTTTGATCAGGAGTCACGGCTGGAGAGAAGGTATTGACATGATGACACATTCTGGAAGGGCTTGGGGCGGCTCGCCCGCCACCTCCAGCTCCTTCCCTTGCATCCTTCCATTTCTGCAGTACCACCGCCCTCTCTTCTTTGCCTCCCCCCGCCCCCAACCCCCGTCTTAAGGCCTTTCCCCTGGAGTTCTAGGGCCTCTTCAGCTCCAGGCTTTCTTGGCATCCCTATCCTCACTGCCCCACCTCTCCTGGGGGCTGCCTTTGGTCCTTGTTTCTTCATGGCTGTAGGCTTAGATGAGCTGAAAATCAATTTGTCACAGCCCCATAATTGAGGTACAGTCTCCTGTTTTCTCTCTCCTTGAGAAGGAAAAGGATACGAAGGGCCCATGCAGCCTCCACGCATCAGGAGCAAAGCTCCCCAGGGCGTCGGAACCTCTCCAACAGGCTGTTGAGTCCACTTTAATTGCTTCTCTACCATCCCAGTCTTCCCTGCCTGCTCACCTCGCCCTGAAGATCTTCTGGACTAAACTGAATTGTTTGTGCCTCTCCTAATTTATAAGACTATTAAAATTTAAAAGGGAGAAACTCAAGGACAAGTGTTACAAAAGGGAAAAACCACATCACTGAACAAAAATCACGCTCATCAAAAATGCAACTCGTTTTTGAGTTAGAAAACCCTTCGACTGATACAATTTTTATGGAATACTCCTCGAATGTCTGTGAAGAGTGATGGTTTCCTTTTTTTAGTTGAGGAGAGATGTTGAGAAAATATAAAGAGATCAAGAGTAAACTGGTGGAGGCAGGGAACAGGGAGGA